GGGGGCACTCATGAAGTTTTAATCCCAAAAGAGTTTCGCCAACACCGGCGCTTGTATTATTCATCTGCTAAACCAAAACGGGCGGTGCTTTGCCGCCCGGAGTTTGTTTCAAAAAAAAAAGAAGTCAGAGCGGTGGAAGATGGGAGGCGTGTAGAGGGACGGGGTCCTGCGTTTAGGGTTGCGGGGGAGGGTTTGGCGCAAGGCGGATTAGCGCACGGGAAATAAAAATGCTCACAAGTCCCCCCCAGCTCTTACAATTGTTTTTAAATGTCGCAGCCCGCTTCCGCTTGAAGAAGCTCCTCATCCCCATGCTGGTGATCCTGAAGCTCTTCAAGCTGAAGCTGCTCCTGTTCCTGCCGCTCATCCTCGGCCTCGCCTCCTTCAAGAAGCTGCTCGGCCTCTTCGCCCTCGTTGTCCCCGGCCTCATCGGATTCTTCAAGTTCTGCGGCAAGTCGGACCTCGCCGGCGGCTACGGCAGCTTCGGCCACTCCAACTACTACAAGCAGCCGCCCCCGCACCGCTACCCTCCTCACCACCAGCCCCTGTACCCCTCCGGCGGGCCCTACACGCAGTACGCCGCCAACAGCGCGCCGTACACGCCGTACACCGAGACCGTCTACCAGCGAGACAACGAGTCCGGGCACCAGGCACAGCCCGCCCAAGGGTCGGGCTCTATCGCCTTCCGGGACCCGGAGGAGTCCTCGGCTCACGACTTAGCCTACCAGGGTTACCAAAATTACAAAAAATAAGTCCAGGAGATAACTCACGCATGTTGGAGTTGTACCTTCTTTCTTTGTCGAGAGAAAACTTTGCGAGCCATTTAGTTCAATTTACGATTGTGGATAGGCAATAATTATGTTGACGCATATGTTCAGCTTTAACGAGAGCGGTATGGAGGAAACTTTTCGTAATTTATCGTCGCATGTGTATAGTTACTGAAATTTTAGAGTTATTTATTTCATGTGTGTATAGATATTGAAATGTTATAGTTATTTATTTCGGGTGATATCCCAGACTGAAAACGACCGACGCTTAATT